AAATAAATAAATAAAATTTAAAAAAAAATCTTACCAATTATCAATGATGCATGCATAAAGATTCTACAGTACATTTCTAATTTTGTGACAGATTTATCTCTATTTTTTTTGGTACCAGGAATAACACTCAGGTAGGTGCATTTGCCAGATAGGTGCTGTGCCACTGAGCTACATTCCTGGCCCTCCTAGTAGCTTTTGTTCTTTAAATTTATACCGGTAAAGGAAACCATGTCTAGCCTCTGATTTCAGTTAACATTATAGTCTCAAAGTGCATCCATTTACAAATGACTCCAATTTATTCTTTATAGTAGTCTATCTGAATTTTGAAGTACACAGGGATTTATACTCAACTGTTTCATGTCCTATTTTTTATGTATTTGGTACAGGGTCTCACTAGGTAGCTTGGACTTGCAGTGATCCTGTTTCAGCCTCCCCAGCGCTGGGATTACAGGCATGCACCACCATGCCCAGTCTTGGTGGCCAGCATGGCATGTGGTGCCAGGGATCAAACCTGGGTCCTTACACTTGCCTAGGCAGGTGCTTAGGCTGCTATCTCTGCAGCCCTCATGCCCTCTTTATAAAATCAGTGGTGATATAACAACATTCTATGTAAATACAAATTTCTTAGTTTACTTTTCACTCACCATAAATTTGTAGCATCTATGATTTCAGGACTTCATCATTCAGTACAAGGTCCAAAACACTAGATTTCCAAGTGTGATAACCAACATGCTGTATCTATTCACTGTTTTGAAATTTAAAGAGTAGGCTGTTCAACCTTTAAGGGCAGAATGGTGGGAAGCATAAATTTAAGAACTATTGTTCTTTAAAAATGAGTCTTTTTTTAATAATTCAACTATGGATATTTATCTGAAGGGCTTTTAATAACATGGGTCTTGCTATATAGCTGAGCTAGCTTCAGACTTGCTGCAATCCTGCCTCAGCCTCCCAAGTGCTGGCCAGGTGTGAACCACCACACTCGGTTATCTTTCTGTAAACTAATCACCTAAAAACTAAGTGTGCCTTCTTTTGCAGCCATAATACTTCATAGGCACATGTATCATCAGTTTCTCCCTAGAACTTTGTACAAGAAGGCATCTTCAGGCAGGAAACCAGGTCACAACCAAAGGGAAAAATTTACTCTACTTGCACAAAACAATTGTCAAGAAAAAAACTTTCAAGATCACCTTTGGAAATCATGCATATTCTCCTAAAATAACCATGTGCAAACCTTTTACAATTCCCAAAGTCTGGTACAAACAGGACAATCAGAGAATTCTGCACTTTTTTTTAGCAATGAGTTGAACATTTATGTGCTGTATTTGCAACTTACAAAAGAAGTAAGAGTTCATACTTCATGAAAACTTCCATTCCAAGGTAGGGAGTGGAGTAAAACGAGCATCTGACACAAAACCAGTTCCCATTTTCAAATATCTATGTCCCCATCTCATTTCATAATCCACCAGTGACACCCGGAGGGAGATTATGCAATTGAGACAGTGTCATCTGGCAGGCAGGCAGCAGCTGTTCTGCAAGGGCCCACACACGCCACCACAAAGGAGCACTGCACACCTGACTTCACCGTGGGAGAAAGTGAAGGATGTCCCACTCAGCCTGACATTTGGTTTGGGTTTTTTTTGGGTTTTTTTTTTTTTTTTGAGACAAAGGTTTTACTATGTACTTCAGATTAGCCTTGAACTCACTATGTAGCCGACTATGCCTGACATATTTTGTTTTGCAAGCTCTGCTTCTGATCTTTTGCATCAGCAACCCACTTTGCCTAGTGCTAAAAGATATTTAAGCAAGTTGCCACAGTGGCATGTGACTGTAATCCCAATATTTTGGGAGGCTGAGGCAGGAGGATTGGAAGTTTGAGTCCCAGCTGGGCAACACACGAAGACTGTGACTCGAAGGGCTGGAGATGTGGCTCTGTGTGATGACCCGGGATTCAATCCTCAGGACTGCCCCCATCAAAAAAGTATTAGGACGGTAACAGTAATAAAAAGACAAGAACCAAGAGTACACACATTAAAATAAGACATATTTATTATACTAAAGAACAGATTTTATTTTCCATTTTACCAAAACACTAAAATAGTACACAGCATAGTAATTTAACACACAATACAAATTGATATATGCAATTATTCCCAAAATGACTATTTTAAGCTTCACTTTGGGAGTCCTTAAAAACTTAACACTCTTAAGTGGCCTTTATTAAAGTTATCAACAAACAAGTTACTTCAGAAAAGCCTTAATGTAAAAAGAAATCTCAACTCCTTGGATCTGGGATCTTTTGTAAGGGAAAACACTTTATCTGCTTCTCTATAGCTTTGCTACAGCAGAGTCAAGCTCTTTTTTACTTAGGGTAACACTGCTAGAAATCCTAGTTTGAGAAGATTATTCTAAAGTTAATATTGCAACTTTCACCATAGGGCCTCCATTGAAACTGCATTTCAAGTAGAAAGAAGTATAAGAACCAAAGTTTGCTGCAGTCCAAAAATTTTCTACAAAACGCAGAAATAGTAACAGCTCACCGTGAACTCAGCAAGGCTTCATAAAAGTACAGCGGTAAACTTTACAAATATCCACTTCCATTTGGTGACAGGACAGCTGAAGAAACAGACGGTATCTGGGACAGTAGCCCTTTAGATTGGGTATTGGAGACAAAGAGCTTCGTGGTAACCACCATGTTCTCAGCTTGTATTGGATATATCAATAATCTCCTGAAAGGGTTTCCCAATTCTTTATCATCTTTTAAGTACAATTTAAAACATGCTCAAAAATTTCCTGCTGTGTTACCGAGCTTTTAGCAAGTTTACACTAGACGTGTACTTTATAAAGTTTGTCTAGCAGTACAAACAAAGCAGGACCTGAATGGCTGCACTGTTTATATCCAGATGTAATGCAAAAAATTATTTTAAGACAACTCTTAAAATTAAGCTACTATTTTTATTGTTCTGCTTGTACCTTAACTATGGCCTACTGGATTTGCTAATTTCAAAGGTCATAGAGCCAACAACCCCAGTGTTATCTGCAGACCATTTGAGGTACAATTTATACTTGAAAGCATATTACTATATTCTGTCATCTGCTCTGAAAGCACAGGCTTTAGCTGGTCCAGGTGGTCACATCGTGTCTCATCCTTTAGAAGGCTTTGGCAGCGGTTATGCAGCGAATCAGGCAGCAAGGAAGACAGGCAGGAGAGTTCTGACTCAGAGCCTGGCCACTCGGGAAAAGCCCTCACTCGCTCACCCTTAGAAACTCCCACTTCCCACAGTTGCAAGTGGCCCGGCTGTGCCAACTCCCAGGGCTCTCCGCTGGAGCACTGTCCTCTACAGCTGTCCGTGGCTCTGGGGTCTTGCCCTGGCCAGTTCCTCTGCAGAGCTTCCCTGATGCTGTGAGACAGGGCAGCTAGGCACTCTCCCACAGGGACAGATGCAGGGATCAGGGATAGACCCACAGCCTTGCTGGGAAATGCTGCCGGGGCTGAATTTCTTCCCATGGATTCCTTCAAATACAAAAATGCCCTGTCACCAAGGGGAAGCAGGACACTGGCCTCACTCAGACCATTTTTTGTTTCCAAGGACAGCGCCTTGCCCTTTGCGTTTCCATTTCCATCAACTGCGGGCCAAAGGCCCTCCTCCTGTGTGCTCCTCTTAAGGCTGTGTGACAGTCTGTCCCAGTCCTCTCCCTTCCCTTTCGCCTTGGCCATGCAGGTGCCGAGGCTTCTTCTTCTGTCCCTCATACTTTTGTGTCCTTTGCGGTGATGAGCCTAGGGTGATGCCTCGGTAGGGAGGAGTGGCCTTCAGTGGATCTCAATATGAACCTGGAAAAGATAATTAAGTTAAAACTCTACAGCAAAGGAGGAGGGTGTCAGAGGGTAGACATACAGATTTCTCTAACAGATTTCTCTAACAGAATCTCTATCAAAGATTCCTAGGTTATAACAGATGACAGAAGGGCAAACTACTTAATACAAATGGTAAAAAAAAAAAAAAAAAAAGAACAGTGTGCTATTAATGCACTATTTCCTAAAAATAAAAATAGACTAGAGGTTGTAGTTCAGCGATAGAGGGGTTGCCTAGTACATGCACTGTATTGAGTTCAGTTTGATCCAGAAATGCACATGTGCACACGCACACACACACACACATGTGCGCACACACAAAGGCATAAATCCCAAGACCTCATACTTTTCGCACCAATATGACTCTAAGCCAGGCACAATGGCACATGTCTGTAACCCCAGCACTCTCAGAGACTAAGACAGGAGGAATCCAAGTTCAAGCCCAGCCAGGGCAACTTAGCAAGGCCCTGTCCCAAAATAAAAAAGGACTAGGAAGGTAGCTCAGTGAGCAGGCCTTAGGTGTACAATTCCGTGTGTGTGTATGTGAGAGAGAGAGAGAGAGAGAGAGAGAGAGAGAGAGAGAGAGAGAGAGGGAGGGAGAGAAACTTCCCTTTAACTTGAACACTAGAACATAATCAGATGGCCTTAACCAAAGTATCCTCTTTAGAAATGATTCTCAGTGACTTGGTATAACAAGTCATTTTTGGGGGAAAGCTTCACTTTTCATATAGATAGTGTCTACAAGTGTCTCTCAAAAAAACTCAAACTGGAGTTCTCTCACACACATGAAATAACACTCCAGCCTTTGGGTATAGAGACCAGTTTTTGGCAGGCCAGGACACTTGTTAAGAAAGAATCCAAGTAGACTTACAGATGCTGTGGTAAAATGATGGTAAAGAGGGGCTTTAGCCTCTTTCCTCCACCCTCAGATATGAGTTACACAGGCTTCTGGAAGCTACCTGAGGGTCCTCTGGAAAAGTCTGGACAGTTGTCATGTGTCCTTGGCTATGTGGCTTTGTGCTGCGAGACCTGTGAGGCAGTGCCTGGCAGTCACGCTCTTGCTGACCGACACACCTATCAGGACCAGGCTAATCTATGATCAAGAATCCTACTTGGGGGAGAAAGCAGGAAATATTGTGAGAGGCCTTGAAAGGAATAACAACCACAAAAATTACATTACTGGAGTGTTGCCTTATGTTCCTCCAGTTTCTCTAATTTTATAGACCTGAACCTTTCCTGGGCCATGAGTTGCTTTACAACTCTATAAATTGTCAAATACTGGGGCTGGTGAGATGGCTCAGTGGTCTAAAGCACCTACTTAGAACAAGCTTAGCAAAGCACCTGGACCTCGGTTCAATCCCCCAGCACCACATGCCAGCCAGCCCCGCCCCCTGGTGGGCTGAGCTGGCCACACACACACACACACACACACACACACACACACACACACAAATAAATAAAAATAAAAAAATTTTAAAAAAAATTTGTCAAATACTTGAAGAGTAAGAGAATGAATGTCTGCCCGAAGAAACAGAAGTTAATTGTTTCTTGTAGAATCTGGTTATTTCCTCACCATATCCACCAATTCTGTATCTATTTGTAAATCCTATGTTAGCATCCTTCCACTCCTAGTTCTGAGACTAAACCCAGATCCTTTGCACTGAGCTAGAGTCCCAGGCCCTTTGAGATAGGGTCTCACTAAACTGCCCTGAGGACTGGGTTCAAATTTGTGATCCTCCTCCCTCAGCTTCCCAGTGTGCTGGAATTATAGGTTTATGCCACTATGCCTAGATTTTTCATAATATAGACATACAATTTAAAGGTACAAAAGCAAAGCACCTGGACCTCGGTTCCAGAGAGGTTCCTGAGAGAAGTAGCTATAGCTTAAAGTGGCTGGCTACAGGAAAAAGAGAAACAGCAGGTAGGAAACTTCCTCCAAATTAGTTTTATACAAGTAGGAGACTTGAATTAAATGAATATATAACGGACCTTTTTTTTTTTTTTTTTAATTTGAGTACATTGGGAAGAAAATAAAACATTACTGGAGGCAAACCAGAAGCAAGGGCAGGTGAGAAATGGGGCTACCGAGCTTACATGGGGCTCAAGGAGAGGCACTAACCTGTCATATAACCTAAACTACTCAAGAAGGTGCTTATAATGCCAGCACTTGAAGCTGAAGCAGGAGGAGCACTAGAAGTTCAAAGCCAGCATGAAGTACACAGCGAATTCAAGGCCAGCCTGAACTACATACTACTACTACTATCCTGTCTCAAAAAGGGGTTGGGGGGACAACAAGCCAAGTACACAACTCTTGGCAAGGAAGTGATAGGCAGTTTTGTGCTGTAAATGAATTACCGCGGCTGCACTGTGGTTCACTGGAAAAGACCCTGAAAGGAATGCCATTTGGAGGCTACTCAATAGAACAGTACAGATCAAAAAGCAGGGTCAGGGGATCAAGAAGAGAGGTGAACTGAAGTGGGGTTTTTGGTTTGTTTTTGTGTAGTTGGTGCCTATAGCAGAAGTGGTACCTCACAGCTTCCTTCTGACTTCCAGCTTGGGCAGTAAGAGTCTGATGGAACAGCAGTGGGAAGGAAGCAGGCCTAGAAGGGGGAGCCATGAGTTGAATCAGGACACGGGGCTCTGGCTGCAGAACTAACAGTGTAGCTCAAGAGAGCCATCAGAGCTACAGCCCGAGATCCAGCAGTCGCCAGCCCTTAGGACCCCAGTACAACATGTCAGAGAAAAGACAGAAAGAAGGGACTAGAACCCCAGGATGAAGACCAGAGAAGAGGAGGTCCACAAAGACCCTGCAGAGGAAGACTCGAAGTGTATCAGGAAAAATGAGGGATAGAGAAGCCAGGTAAGTGGAAGAATTCAAAAGAGAATTGTAGACTTTTTTCTTTTCTTTTTTTAATGTTAGCTACAAGTAAATTCTGAAAAACTCTCCAAGCTTCTAGGCCAGTCATGAAAACAGGAAAATGCCATGAAACATGTGAGAAAATACATCTTTGTGTACTGCATCTTTATCTCTTCTACCCTATTAACTTTTTCCATGTTTTATTTTATGTATTTTTATTTTTACTTACTTTTTTTTTTGACAGTCCTGAGTCCTGCTAAGTTGCTAACTTCCCCAAACTAAGCCTGAACTTTTGATCCCTGCCTCAACCTCCCACAGTGCTGGGATTATAGGGGTGGAACATCATGCCCAATTTCTGCACCAAATTTTGACTCATTTTTTTTTGTTTCTGTTTTTTTGTTTTGTTTTGTTTTTTGGTGGAACCAGGTATTGAACTCAGGCCCTTGCACTTGCCAGGGAAGCACTTACTTTACTGAGCCATGTTCCTGGCCCCTTTTGCACCAAATTTTGATACAGTAAAATATAGTTAGGGTCACTGCATGGCTCAGTGGTAGAGTACTTGCCTAGCATGTGCAGGGCCCTGAGTTCAATTCCCAGTATCACAAAAACCCAAAACCCAAAACCAAAATAGTTTATGAAAGTATGTTAGGGTTTGTATCTAGATATCCCCACAATGTCTCCTGCAGTCATGGGGTGGGCTTCTAATTTGTGAATGATTCATGGTCCAATGCTAGGATTGTGTGAATGCCACACCAGCCTGCATAAAATATAAGGGGGAGAAAGAGCATCTGTTTCTGTCTCTGACTTTGACGCTGTCTGTCTCTGTCGCTGTCCTTCTCCCTCTCCCTCCTTTTCTGTTTTGCTGTTTTCTGCTGCCATGAACTCTTGCTCCTCTGCTACATAACCCTGCCTTGGAGCCAGCTGACTGCTGACTGAAACCTCTGCAAACTGTGATCTAAATGAATCTTGCTTTGGATGTCAGGTATTTTGTCTCAGCAATGAGAGAAAAGTAACCAAGATAAGGGGCACAGTTGTGGGGTATGTTGAAAAGTTTTAAAGACAGATGTGTGACTATAACTCTAATTAACTGATAAAAAGTATACTTGAACATTATAAAGTGATACAGAGCTAATCATGGTGTTGCACACCTGTAATCCTAGCACTATGGGAGGCTGAGGCAGGAGGACCGTAAATTTAAGTCCAGACTGGGCAAGATGGTAGCTCTGCAAAACCTTGTCTCAAAAATAAAAAGTAGGGCCGGGGAGATAGCTCAGTGGAATAAGCGCTTGCCTGGCAAGTGCAAGGGCCTGAGTTAAATCCCCGGTTCTGCCAAAAAAATTAAAATAAAAATAAATAAAAAATAAAAAATTGGGCTGGGGTCATAGCTCAGAGCAAAGACTCTGGGTTCGTCATCAGTATGCACCCCCAAAAAAGAAGTGATAGAGAAATATAAGGTACAAAACAGGTATGGTGGCACATATGTTGTCATCTGAGTAGACTGGAAGGAAGACTGAGGCAGGACTGTAAATATAAGGCTGCCATGGGCAGCTTAATTACTTAGTAGGACCGTATGATAAAATGGCTTTCTTTTTTGAGACAGGATCTCACCATGTAGTTGAGGCTGACCTTCAACTCACTATGTAGCTCACACTGACCTCAAGCACAGCCTCCTGCAAGCTGGGATACAAATGTACATCACCATGTCCATGTATATTTAATACATATTAAAACTGTCAAAACATTAAAAAAAATTTTTTAAGGCACTGGGATTGAACCCAGACCTTTGCACTGAGCTATGACTCCTGCCCTTTTCTTCTTTTTATTTATTCTTTTTGGGGGGTGGGGATCTTGGCTAAGTTGCCAAATTGTCAAGGGTGGGTTTCAACTTGCAATCCTCCTGCCTCAGCCTCCCAGAGTGCTAGGATTATAAGCACGTGCCACCATGTCCTGCCCTGCTTTTTTTAACCCCTTAATTCTTAAGAAAAACAAGAAAAGATGAGAGAAAAAAGAGGCAACTTAATATGGGGCAGAGCTCAGGAAAATTAATTTCTTA